ATCGTTCCCCTTTATTCGACATTGGTGAGGCCTCATCTGGAGTACTGTGTCCAGTTTTGGGCCCCACACTACAAGAAGGATGTGGAAATATTGGAAAGAGTCCAGCAGAGGGCAACAAAAATGATTAGGGGTCTGGAGCACATGACTTATGAGGAGAGGCTGAGGGAACTGGGATTGTTTAGTCTCCAGAAGAGAAGAATGAGGGGGGATTTGATAGCTGCTTTCAACTACCTGAAGGGGGGTTCCGAAGAGGATGGAGCTCGGCTGTTCTCAGTGGTGGCAGATGACAGAACAAGGAGCAATGGTCTTAAGTTGCAGTGGGGGAGGTCTAGGTTGGATATTAGGAAACACTATTTCACGAGGAGGGTGGTGAAGCACTGGAATGCTTTACCTAGGGAGGTGGTGGAATCTCCTTCCTTGGAGGTTTTTAAGGCCCGGCTTGACAAAGCCCTGGCTGGGATGATTTAGTTGGGAATTGGTCCTGCTTTGAGCAGGGGGTTGGACTAGATGACCTCCTGAGGTCCCTTCCAACCCTGATATTCTATGATTCTATCAGCGATGAGACCAGAGCCCAGGTCCTGCAGAGAGCAGAGCTGCACTTACTCCACTTTGCCACCCAGGGGTTCAGAAGGACAGTGTCACCCACCCTAGCTCCACGTTGCCCTCTAGCAGCTAGACCACATGTACACGTGTTTCAGAGTGGTAGCCGTGTTAGTCTGCATCAGCAAAAACAACGAGGAGTACTTGTGGCACCTTAGAGACTAACAAATTTATTTGAGCATAAGCTTTCGTGGGCTAAAACCCACTTCATCGGATGCATGCAGTTTTATTTGGACATATTCCTAGAGGTCCTGTGAATGAGATCTGATTTGGGGCCCACCAGCAGAGCTTGCATCACTGCAGGCTGGAAGATGCAGGGTCAGTGAGGTGGGGCCCACTCACTGAAGAGCAAGGATTAAATAAATATTCCTCAGGTACCTCATTCAGTGGGCACTACCCAGAGGGCTTTCCTGGAGCGTGAATCAGGCCTTGAAAAGGGTGTGAGTAATGTGGAGCTCTCATCACATGTAATTAAAGACTGTCTCTGGATGCACATGCCTGGGGGCTGAGCAGAGGGGGCATGGCCCCCTAAGAGCCTCGGTTTTGCCTCTTCTGAGGTTTGAGTGCTTGGCTTTGGAACCTGAACCTTGTGTAAATGCAGATTTGAGACTGAACAGGTCTAGTGGCATATAGCTCTGGTGTTAGCGATGCCTGGGCAGGAACAGCTAAACACCATGCACCATAGCATGGGACTGAGTCCTCTACATGCGTTGTTATGCCTGGTGATCTAGGTTATGGTACTAGCCCTCAGTAGTGCCTTGATTTGACATGCTGGCTGGCACAACCGGGACAAGGGCGGTCAGACCTAGTGGTTGGAGCAGCAGTCGGGCTGAGTCAGGTACTGGCAGGTCAGAGTCTGAGACCAGCCAGAGGGCGAATGGAGAGTCAGGCAGGATCAGGTCACCAGGAGATCGGGGTCAGACGCCAGCTTGCAGGCAGCAATTGAAGAGCAAAGCCAAGGACAAACCAGGGCTGGAAGCCAGAGTCTAGGGTCTATTGTGAGTAGGTACTGGAGCTGTCACTTCCTGGTTTAAGCCCTAGTATCAGCCAATCAGTGGGCTATAAGGGGCTGCCACTCAGGGCCTGCTGGGCCAAGTAGGGTCAGCTGTGGGGGTGGGCAGGCTGGGCGATGCCCAACTTATGCCTTCCTCGGGAGGCACTTCCAGAGCAGGGGAGTCCTGTCTCTCCTGCTCCCTCCTGCTGCTCTTCAGCTGTCTGCTGCCACCACTGCTCCTGCCCCCTCCCCCCGCGTGGAGCTGCCCCTGGCCAACCTGCTCCTGAGAGCCTCCTGTGTGCTGTGCAGAGGGCGGGGGCTGATGTTGGGGAGTCCCCATCCTCCTGCCTGTGTACCCGGTCTCCGCTGAGCTGGGGTGGGGAGACAGGAGTCTGTGTGTGTGCTGCTGCGCTGCTCTGGGTTAGGAGTGGGAGCTGCTGGCAACTGCTGCTGGACTGAGCAAGCCTTCAGAGTGCTGAGCTTAAAGCAGGGGTGGGCAAACTTTTTGGCCCAAGGGCCACATGGGAATAGAAATTGTATGGAGGGCCATGAATGCTTACAAAATTGGGGTTGGGGTGCGGGAGGGGGTATGGGCTCTGGAGTGGGGTTGGGGATGAGGAGTTTGGGGTGTAGGAGGGTGCTCTGGGCTGGGACTGAGGGGTTCGGAGGGCGGGAGGCAGATCAGGGCTGGGGCAGGGGGTTGGGGCATGGGTAGAGGCTCAGGGGTGTGGCCCCCGACCCCGTGGCCCAGCCGGAGCGGGCCGAGCCACCCACGTGGTGCAGCCCCCGACCCAGCGCCCCGGCTGGAGCGGGGCTGAGCCGCTTGGTGCGGCTCAGGGGCCGGCTTAACACACACACACACACACACACACACACACACTCTCTGTCTCTCTCTCTCACATTCCCCCAACACACACATTTGTATTGTTGTTATTACTTCTTGGTATTTCCTATCGAAATGTGCAAGGCACATATAGTCTGTGTAATTTTATTCTTTCAAAGTTCGTTAAGGATTACAGTGCTGTTATTTTATTTTTTTGACTGAGAAATAATTTTATTTCTCTCTTATGCTTAAATTTAATTCTTTGAGTAGTCAGTTCTAAAATGCCTAACCTGTCCTTGCTGGAGTAATTATCATTATTACTTTTATTATCATATTGTGCTTTGTCATTTATTATTTAAAGTGGTACAATCAAATAATAGTATCCTCCTAGAATGTAAATTTAGCTTGTAGTCATCTTAGCAGTGTCAGTTTAAAAAACATTAGGTAAACACACAACTTGAGACACTGTGCAGAATTGTATAATTTTCAAATTGTATTTTTAATTATATCTGTAAAATAACTTATACTTTGTATGAAAATAAATGCAGTTCCAAGTATGATACTAATAGCAATGATGGAGTCAAATTTGAGTTTCACGTACATGATTGTGATCGGTAAACATAAATGCAAAAATAATTAGAAAAATAAATTCCCTTTCTTAATAAAAGAGTAAAAACCCTTACTCACATATGTTAAAATTACGTAAATACATTTTTAGTGGAGTGAAAAAAACCTAACTGAAATATAGTAGATAGTGGCAGTAACAGAGTGTGTCTGTTAGGGAAAGTAAGCCGATTTTAAACAGATTTTATTTATTTTTATTTTTCTCTACTAAAGATAGTGTACAAAGTATCAAACTCGTGTTTCTGATATCTGTGTTAAAGCCGCAGAGTTGATCTGTCTAGGTTTGGGATTGGGAATATTTTGCTGTATTATCTCCTCATTGTTCTAAATTTACATATAAACTGAAAATGTGGCTTTAATTGGTGTTTGTATATATTTTTTCTTTCTTTATATAACAATTAAATACAATGCTCCTGTCAGCTAATTCCTACGTTATTATCTCCAAAAACACTATAGTTTTCGGGAACCTAAGTAGTCCCTGGAATCACGGTTAAAGTTGCCTTCCACCCCACAAAATCTGAAATGGTGCCCCGGTGAGCCAGGAGTGATTACAGGGCTGCAGGAAGGCAGTGGGCTCTGGCAAGATGCAGCCCCTGTGTGACAGTACAAAGCCCACGTTAAGCCACAGGCTGAGTGCCAGACACCACAAGTCACAGCAGCAGCGCAGAAGTAAGGGTGGCAATACACCATATACCATGCCACCCTTATTTCTGCGCTGCTGCTGGCAGTGGCGTTGCCTTCAGAGCTGGGTGCCCGACCAGCAGCTGCCGCTATCAGTCCACCCTGCCAGTGCTTAATTGGTGCCAGGACTGAGATCTGGCAGCTCTTTCAATACAAATTAAGCACCAAGGGAAGGCAGCAGGGCCTGAAAGTGTGGAGATGGGGGGAGGGGGAGAGGGGAAAGCCTAGGGAACCTATGGGGGCCAAGGGTGATGGGGAAACCAAAATACAAGTTCGCCCAGGGCACCATTTTCCCTAAGGCTGGCCCTGCTGCCAAGCCCAGCCTCACAGGCTCCTCCCATGGGTCCAGCCTAAGCCTGCAGTGGTGTCAGCAGCACACCATCCCTGTGGGTCCAGGTTCCTACACTGGCTCCGTGGCTAGCCCACGTTTTCCTGGGCTGCTTGGCAGACTTTTCCTCAGTTCTTGCTTGTGCCGGTGTTGACAGCAGAGCTGGAGCCCCAGGAGAATACAGTGAGGTCAGGCCTGGGATTCCCTGATGGGTACATGCAGCAGCCAAGGGTCTGTCCACACAGCAAAGAAAACCTGCAGCTGGCCCATGCCAGCCGACTTGGGCTCGCAGTGCTCAGGCTGTGGGGCAGTTTCACTGCTGTGTGGATTTGTGGGCTCTAGGAACCTGCGGGGTGGGAGGGTCCCAGAGCTCAGGCTCCAGCCCAAGCCCAGAAGTGTGCACAGCAATTAACCAGCCCCACAGCCCGAGTCAGGTGGCAAAGGCCAACCATGGGTTTTTCTTTGCTGTGTAGACAGACCCTAGTGGCCCAGGCAGGGACTTTCCCTCTCACAGCCTGGCCTGCTCACTGCCTGCTTTGCACCTTGCTGTTCAATGAGTCACATTGCTCCTCCCCAGAGAGCCTCTGCCTCCCAGACTCCTCCCAAAGTCATGTGCTCTGCACAGCATGTTGTATTAGCATAAAGAGTTGATACAAGACACACAGCAGACCCTCACACTCTGTGCCACTCCAGGGAACGTCTCCAGGAGATGAGGGGTGCTGCACGATCTTGTTGGAATCCAGGGCACTCTTGACAGGCTGCGGATGGGCAGAGAATAGGGGGGTAGAATTGGCAATTATTAGCTGTGTTTGTTTGTCTCACTCCTGCCCCAAGACGTCCAGATTGTACGCCCACTTTCCGTATCCATCTCTGTTTAGACTTTGCCTTGTCTGAAAGCCAGCTTAACAGGACTCTCTTCTTCTTCCCAGCAGAAACCCAGGAAGGTCACTCCTCAGCCAGGAGAAGATTCTCTGAATTGCCCTCTGCCTCCCGGCTGGCAGAGCTACATGTCTCCCCAGGGCCACAGGTACTATGTGAACACCTTCACCAACGGTAAGCCCCATTCAAGCTCGTAGCACCTTGGCTCTGCTGTAATGAAGGGTCTCACAGGTCTGTTTCTGGGTGTTTCTAATTCACCTCTGGGCTGGTCCACACTGGTTTTCAGGGAAATAATGCAAAGAACAAAAGCATGTGAATGGTACAAATAAATTTCATTGACAAATTCCAGCGACATCAAGAGGAACTCCAAGGAAGCACGGTTAAGCACTCACTCCGAAGTGCCAGAGTGAGGGATGTCTGTGCCACCTTAATGCTGACCCTGCAAGTGTGTGCTGTAAGAGGCCGTCTTTAGTTCCATGGTACTTTTCTGGCGTACAGGATTCAGACTGGTGCATGGCTGATTTCAGACATGGCCATTATAGTTTTAAACTGAAAACTATTTTTTCCATCAGCTAACAAAAATGTCTGTGTGATTCCAAGTGCAAAGTGTTCCATCGCATAAGGTAGTGATAATGGCAGTCCATGTGTCTTGGCTCTTACAGAGCCCATGTGCTGTGGTAATTGGTGCTTTATAGGCAGAGGGATAAATATGGATGTAGAACCACTGATCGTGTGTAGTCACTTAGAGTTTGAATGTTGTAAGTTTGTTCTGATCTCCTATAAATGAAAAATGTCTGTGGGTTAAAACTTCCAAAAGTGGTTACGTGACTTAGGAGCCAAAGTCCTCTTTTCCAAAGGCCCTTAGGCATTTAGGAGCCAATCTTACTGGATGTCAATGGAACTTCAGCTCCTGTGTCACTTGGGCACTTTTGAAAATTTTACCCTAATTCTTAAACTTGCAAAAAGACCCCATTTCTAACCTGAACTGAGTGTGTGTCAATGCAAGAGGTCTGTGGATAGCCTGAACCAGTGGCTCTAAGGGCTGTGAAATAGCTTGGGATAAGCACAGAATAAACTGACAGGAACCCTTTCATCTTCCTTGGTCTGAGCCAAATCTCTCTAGATTTGAGCCACTGGCGTCAGAAAGAGAATGTAATTTTCAAACATGGTGCTTAGACCACTCAGGCTGCCACCCCCTCCCAAGAGGGCCTGTGCTCTGGATTGCTGCTTTGGGGACTGCCTTTTTCATTTCCTTTTAAAATCAGCTTTTCTCTTCACTCTAAAATGTTTGTGCCAAACATTCCCCCCCAATTTGTTCAGGCTCTGTGCATGTGTAACCCACACACCGCCTGGGTGTGGTGTTCTGTCCCCTCTAGTGGCACCAAGACCACTTAGAGAGAGATTAATGAGTCTGCTCTACAGCCTTAGCTAACAGCCATGTGACTTTTAGCTCATGCAGTAGAGGCTCATGTATTTAGCTCCAGAGGTCCCAGGCTTGATCCCGCCCGCCAACGACCGGGGTCTGTCGGTGTTACACATAGCCAGAGATGCTGGGAGAGAAGAGCGGACTTTGCTCCTGCCCCCATGCAGTGGTCTGGTCCTCCAAGCTGCAGGGGCAGATGATAATAATGAGAGGTGTCCCCAGAGCTGTATCTTTACAAGACATCATCCCAGCATTCCTGACAAGCTCCACACAGAGCTAGGGCAGAGCCAGTGGCCTACTTTTCCAGATGGTGAAACGGGGTGGAAAAGTAGCTTCCCAAGGCTGTGCAGCAAGGAAGTGTCCGATGGGGTAGTGGAACCGAGGGCAGTGCTAACCCACACCCCACATGGCCAGCCCACCCTGCATATCCAGCTGCCTGTAGTCTCTCCACTCTTCTGTGTGCACAGTCAGGCTGACACAAAGTCGTGGCCAACTCTCACACAGCACTTTCTCCACTGGAGATCTCAAAGTGCTGACAAAGGGGAGGCACAAGTAGCCCTATTTTCCAGGCAGCATAACTAAGGGTACGTCTACACTACCCACCGGATCTGCGGGTAGCGATCTATCTATCGGGGATCGATTTATCGCATGTAGTGTAGACACGATAAATCGATCCCCGATCGCTCTCCCGTCGACTGCTGCACTCCAGCTCGGCGAGAGGCGGAAGCAAAGTCGACGGGGGAGCTGCGGCCGTCGATCCCACGCTGTGAGGACGCGAAGTAAGTAATTTTAATTCGATCTAAGATACGTCGACTTCAGCTATGCTATTCTCGTAGCTGAAGTTGCGTATCTTAGATCGATCACCCCTCCCCCCCCCCACAGTGTAGACCAGGCTTAAGCATCTCTCAAGCCACTATTTCTGAGAGGTTCTGTCAGCTGGTTTCTGAGGCAGGGATCTATCGTCACATCAGAGATATGGCTCCTGGTATCTGCTCTGCACAAGTCCCCCTACTGTCATTCATCATTCCTCATAAGTTGCCCCATCAGTTCAGGAAGAGGCGTGACATTTACAGTCCACGCGTGGCATGTGACTGGAGGATTCCCAAAGCAGCAGCGGTGAAGTGCAGAGCATAGCTAAGGCCAGTTGTAAGCATGGGTGGGAATAGAACGTGGCTTTATTGAGCCCTGGGCTCATAGGTGCTGGAACGAGGGGTGCTGGGGGTGTGGCTGCACCCCCTGGCTGGAGTTGGTTTCCATCATATAGAGGGTTTACAGTTTGGTTCAATGGCTCTCAGCCCCCCCCACCCCCCATAAAAATTGTTCCAGCACCTATGCCTGGGCTCTGAGGTGCTCAGGGTGGGGTGAAGAAGGCAGGGGAGAGTGGGGACCCTGTTTCAAGGCTGTGTGACTCCCAGAACAGCTGAGTGCTGATGGCTGTAGGGCATTCTAGGGGTTCTTTAACTGCACTCCATGTCTGCTGCTGCCAGCGCTGGTGATAAGCCATAGAACGGGGTGGCCAAACCATGGCTCATGAGCCGCATGCGGCTCTTTTACAGTTAAAGTGCGGCTCGTGGAGGACCCCCTCTCCATCCCCCACCTACCAAACTGCGGGGGAGCTCGGGGCTTCTGCCCTGCAGCGGGGTGGTAGGGCTAGGGGCCATAGGTAGCACGTGACTCCTGACCTCCCCTCCGTGGGACCCTCATCCCCCTGCCCTCCCCTGCTGCGGGGCCCTAGTCCCACTACCCTCCCCCACTGCAGGGCCCTCATCCTTCTGCCCTCCCCTGCCATGGTGCCCTCATCTCCTGCCCTCCCCCGCCATGTGGCCCTCGTCCCTCTGACCTCCCCCCCCCCGGTAGGGCCCTCATACTCCTGAATTCCCCCATTGCGGGGCCCTCATCCCCCCTGCTCTCCCCTCTGCAGGGTCCTTGTCCCCCTGCCTTCCCCCACCACAGGACCCTAATCCTCTTGCCTTCCACTGCTGTGGGTCCCTCGTCCTCCTGCCCTCCCCCTGCCTGGGGCCCATGTCCTTCTGTCCTCCCCTGCCTTGGGGCCCTCGTCCCTCTATACCCCCCCCCTCCCCGCAGGGCTCTCGTCTACCTGCCCTCCCCTGCCATGGGGCCCTAATCCTCCTGCCCTCCCCTGCCATGGGGCAGTTGTCCTCCTGCCCTCTCTCGCCAAGGGGCCCTTGTCCTCCTGCCCTCCCCTGCCTTTGGGCCCTAGTCCTGCTACCCTTCCCAGCTGCAGGGCCCTCATCCTCTTGCTGTCCCCTGCCGCGGGGCCCTCATCCTCCTGCCCACCGCCACCACAGTACCCTTGTCTTTCTGCCCTCCCCTGCCTTTGGGCCCTAGTCCTCCTGTCCTCCCGCGCCACAAGGCACTCGTCCTCCTGCCTTCCCCCTGCAGGGCCCTCATCCCCCTGTCTATCCTCACTGCAGGCCCTTGTCTTCCTGCCCTCTCCCCTGCCGCAGGGCCCTCATCCCTCCTTGCTCTCCTGCCTTGGGACCCTCGTCCTCCTGCCCTCCCCTGCTGCGGGGCCCTCATTCCCCTGCCCTCCCCTGTCATGGAGCCGTTGTGCCCCGGCCCTCCCCCGCCGCAGGGCTCTCGTCCCCCTCCCCTCCCCTGCCGTGGAGCTCTCGTCCCCCTCCCCTGCTGTGGGGCCCTCGTCTCCCTGCCCTTGCTGTTGCAAGGCCCTCGTCTCCCTGCCCTCCATGCCATGGTCCTCCCTCCTGAGACCCAAGGTGGGTGAGGACCTGGCTGTCTGAAAGAGCAGCTCCCTATTCACACACTGCTGGGATAGGGGCCAGTAGCTGGGCACACCAACAGTCAGACTCTGCTGCTCTGGCATCAGAGCAGAGGCCATGGTGCGCCACCATCTGATGGGGTTCATCCAAATACAAGTACAGGCAGCTCTTCTAGTGAATATTGAATGGAGAGGGTGAGAGATGATCTAGGGAACGAAGGAAAAAGAAGTTAAAAACACCCAAAGCCAGTCGGAAATCCTGGAGGTCAGGGAACTGAAATCGCTTGGTCCATTCCCTGTGCTCCTTTACTGGTCCTGGCTGCCTACATACTTCGGTATCTCTAGGACAGGCAGCAGGTAGGATTCCAGGACTGATGGACGACGTGCTGTTCCACTTCAGAAAATCCTGCCTTCCTCTTTTGCAACTTCAGCAAAAGGCTCTTATGAAGGGCTGTTGTTTTACAAACTAAGGAACATGTTTGATATGCTGCAGATAAAACACAATCTTTTATTTATTCCCTTTGCAAAATTAGGAACAGAGCATTGTTTGTTATACAAAATATGCAACATACTTGCATGATTTATCCTTTCATGAACATGTGGAAAATTTGGCAACAGCTTGGCTCATCTTATCCAGTGCTCCGTGCATTTCAGTCTAATATGTATGGGAAACTTCAGAGAACATTGCCTTGTTGATCACAGTAGAAAACAGGCTGTATTTTCAATTAAGAAGGTCATAGTCAAATTCTATCCTCCTTTCATTCTTGTAGACAATGGATTAAAAAGGTCATAAAATAGTGCAGAATTGTGGACCCATTGTATAGTATATTATATATCACCACGACCACCAAAAACCAACCCTTTTCCCTAAAAACAACTACAAAAATCAACCATTATTTAGATTGCAAACTCAAGCACTTTAAAGTTAGGGGATACCAGATTTAAGGTAGCTCTCAGAGCCTTCATTTGGACCTTTATACTAGGTATTTTAAAACAGTGTTTAATTACATG